GAATAGGAGAACAGAGGACTCTATGGAAGTCAATAAAAAATAGGCGAGACAGGTTGGTAGGACACCTTCTTAGGCATGAAGGTCTAGTCAGAGACATATTAGAGGCAGAAACAGGAGTTAGGAGGGGTAGAGGTAGACCTAGGTTAGATTAGTGTTCGCAAATAGTTAAGGATGTGGGTTGTTCTAGTTTTAGGAAAATGCGAAGTTTAGCTCAGCATAGGAAAGTCTTAGGACTGACGACCTTATGATGAGTAAAAATGGTAAAAAAAATAGATAGAAAATTATCATTAGTTCTTTAATTTTCTACAAGTATAAAATATTTTTTAAGAAAACCTTACAGGCATTTGCTCATTTTTTAAATATTGGAGTTTTTCTAGATAAATAGTGGTGTTTGCATTATATCACCAGCTGCAGAAATTAAGTATGATTCATATTTTTTTGTTTGAAGTGATTGAGTATAGTTTTTCTATCGTTATGTTATAGTTTCTTCGGTTCAGCAGCAAATAATTCTTCTATATGTTTCCTTATTTACTTTTGTCACCCGTTTTGATCGGATAGAGGGCACTGATGACAAAGTAGTTTGCTTAACGTAAAAGATCAGAGCCAAAAATGGGTTGCAAATAATTTTACTGATGTAAAATGAACATCAATCATTTTATACCAAAGTATTTACAACCTCATTTTGTTTCTGATCTTTTACACATTGTAATAAAAGAAAGAAATGGAATCCATAGTTTCTTTAGCTTTGGGTTCATCTAATAAGTGAAGTTTTTCGAATCGTTTTGTAAGAATTTTGGATTATATGCATTTATTAGCATACCACGTCTTATAGTTTTCAGTTTTACACAGTTGGCGTATTCGATATTGTTTTGAGGGCTGTTTTGTCTTAATTCATAGAATTTCGTAGTTCCTTCCTGATTTGGCAGGTGCTGATATCAATTTGGAACTTCAAAATTCCATGGACCACGACATTGAACCCGGAAAACGATATCGATCCAATATTTTAGATTATCCATTTCCAAGGAGTCTAGACATTTTTGGGCTCTCTTCAGTTAAAAAATTAGAAGGCATTCACGGAATGTCTTTTTGTTCCCTTTTTGTGTTTCTCATACCTTCAATAGCCAATGTGAGCAACTTTCATTCATCATTTTAATCATTACTAATTTTTAAAAACTTTCTTGTATTCCAATTTAGTTTATATGAATGGTCAGTGTCATAAGGTGAAAAGAACATGTAGAAAACGTAATTCTTTATTGACCACCTCTCTACGTTAACTGGTTAAGTTCACAGTCTTCTCATACAAAACTAAAGCATAGTTTATACAACCATTAGAATCCAACACCTAAGGCTGATTTTTAGTATTTACTGTTTAAGTAACTCCTGACGTTTTAAGAAAAAAAGAAAGAAAAGGCTTATTCAAAAGGCCAACAGCAGATACGTATTCATATAGGGCAGCTTAGGAGAGAGTTTTATGAGTCGGTTCAAAAGCGGAGCGCGTTTGAAGTTTTTGCAAAAGAAGGAAACTCCTATGATGGGTAATTGGCAAAAGCCTTAGCGTAAGCGAGTGAAGCGAGAAAGGATCAGAAAGAGGAGCAGGCGAAGAAGAGAACAGAAATATGTATACCACTACCACCAACACCATCAGAGCAGTACCACCACCACCACCAACGAACGACATCGGGTCCTCGACAGAGGCAAAAGCTTTGAAGATGTTGCCGCTTCGACTCCTTTAATCTGTTTGCTTTTGCACTTGCGGCAAAACGTTTACAAAAGCAAGGAAACGGATACGGTAGTTTCATTTACTTACAGTTCTCGAGGCGAACGGATAAAGATGACAAGGGCTTTGCTAATTGGAAGAAATTTGAACTAAATACCGGAACTGAAACAGCTTCATACAAAAAGGGACGGGGATTTTAGAAAAGGCGGCAATTGGCCAGATTTTCTTACTGTTTTCATTCAAACCAAAAAAACAAAGAACAGTTTTATCGAAGCAACTAGGGCTAGGTATTTGTTAATAAATCGATTATTGCATTTTTGGTATGACTCCGAGTAGCATTTAGAGTATGGGTGGAATATGGCCCAAACTTGTACTCGCAATTTTGAAGTACGGCCATGTATACAAACTTCTGATGCGACCCATATTACGCCTTGGAATATATGGCCCGTATTAAGTAATAATCTAGGGTCCGGAACAGAAATCGTAATCAGGTCCATACATAAAATTAAATTTAGGCCAATTAAATAAAATAAATCGATTATTGCATTTTTGGTATGACTCCGAGTAGCATTTAGAGTATGGGTGGAATATGGCCCAAACTTGTACTCGCAATTTTGAAGTACNATACTTTGTTATGAAAACAAAACCTTATAAAAATATGAAACCTAAACAAAATAAATTAATTTTTTAAACGAGAATTTTAAAAGTACTGAGACTTTAAATTTTTAAACCCGGACTACAAATGAAGCTCCCCCGGACGCTCCCCGGATGCCCTCTAAACTAGGACAAATCCGGGGAAACCTGGACGGATGGCAACCCTATCCTTCGCATTTCCCTAAAACTAGAACTATCACATTCTTAATTAGTTACGAACTTCTACTCCTCTTCTGTATCTGCCTCTAATATGTCTCTGACTAGACCTTCATGCCTAAGAAGGTGTCCTACCAACCTATCTCGCCTATTTCTTATTGGCTTCCATAGAATCCTTTCTTCATTTATTGTTTCTAATTCCTCTTCATTTCTAACCTTCTCTATCTACGGCATCCCCATCATTCAGATGTAACACTACATTTCTAACCCTTCTAATCTTTTCTTTTCCGCCGCGCCCACTGTCCATGTTTCGCACCCGTACAGCGCCGCGTTCCAAACATACACTTTAACAATTTTTTGAAGTGAAACTTCTTTACGCACGGTAAGGTAAGTGCGTTTCATGCGAGTTGCTATGTAACGAAATCATGCAACGGATGTCTCGTAGTGGAGATCGCTTGAGCAGTGAGCGCGCTTCAATGCGACGTTTTCTTACAGGCAACTCCGGCATTTGTAGTGTAAAATTTAAATTCATAGTGTACAAATAATACCATTAAACCAATTCCTTAACCCCTATCCCGGTATGTTTGTGTGTTTGAAGAAGTTTTACATCAGTAGCGTGTTGTATAATTAGACGTTGTATTTTTTTTTATTTCGAATTTCTAAATTAACCGTTCGGGAGCATAAAAGTGGCTTCTTTTTATGGAAAGCGACTTGACCCTGCACTATCCTCTACTTTACATCTGATATCCTAGATACCTTCTTTCAATTTTTCGTCTTCTATCTTTATATTCGCTGTTTCCCTACTTTTTCGTCCCTTGCGTTCCAGTATTTGTTTTACTTTTATTTATTTTCATACAATACTGTTTTGTAAATACCGCTTCCATTTCATTTTAAGCTATCTCTAACTCCTGTCGTAAATACGTGATTATGTAAATTAGACTTATTATTGGAATATTAGTCATTACTTACCCTTCTCAAGATTGTCGATTTGATCGTTCGTAAATGACGTTCTATTTCTTTGTAACTTTCGTTTCAATCGCAATCTTGCTTGGTCGTCGTCTGCTCCAACACTTGATCCAGCGTTTGAATTGTCTCCTGAATTGGTTTCGTCGGAATGGACTCCATCCAAATCTGGAACAAAAACATTAAAAAATAGTAACTTTTGCCGATTTTGGATTTGGGTTTTAAAACAGTAAAACTAATAGGTACATCGTATTGTTTTGTGTATTTCTAAATTTAGAAGAGTAAACCTCTAATAATACCTATGCATCTATTGTCTTTTCCTGTTAACTAAATTTTGTCATTAAATATCGATATTCACTTCATAGATTAAGGTTCCTATAACTTTCCTGTAGAGGTGCGACACGATGCTCTTACAGCTGGATGATGAAAATATTGTGGGTAGAAATGGCTAAACTTAAGGAGGTATTAGAGAAAGTGGGAGAACAGAGCTAGGAGAAATTAAGTATGTCTACTTAAAAATGGCAACTGAAGCTAAAAAACTTTGAAGAGATCTTATCAGCTTGAATTGATACTGTCCTGATTCGGGTCTATAAAGGTCATCATCGATTGGATTTGCTTCCTAACGTTTCGTTAGCACGAGTGGCGAGCTTCTTCAGAAGCCTTTCCATTTCCGATGGATTGTCCAGTCTACATCCAGCATCTCAGATGGAAGCATCTCTGAACAAGCTAGCCACTAGTGTTGACGAAACCTCAGGAAGCGACTCCAACAACCGACGACGGTCTTTAATCCCAAATCAGGACAGTATCAGTTCACCAACTGGCTGCGAAAGCCTTTACCAGTTTGTCATTTATCAGTTTCTTCATTGATACTAATAAAGAGGACAACTTAAACCTTATTTAGTGAAAACGTAAAGGGACAATAATCATTATTATGTCGAGCCTTGCAGCTTTGAAAACACCAATATAAAAGCTCTGAATCTTCGTAGGTAGATATGAAAAGAGCCAGTTGGAAACATTAGAACTAGAAACAGGAGTAAAGAGAGGTGAAGGAACGCCTAAACTAGATTATTATTAGAGATGCGAGAAGTTCCAGTTTTCGAGAAAAGCGAAAAGAACATTACGATGATGAAATTAAATTCTAACTGTTCAGAAGTAAGTGTTTTGAATGTGAATATTACTTTACAGTTGGCTTAAAAACTTAAGAGTAATAAATCTTTCTGAATCTTTAGTAAAACTAAAACCATAATGATGATGCTCAAATGAATGATACCTGCCTTCTTATCCATTAAAGGTTCATTTTTTTTACTTCAAAAAAATAAAAAACGAAAAAGTAGAAGCGTGACCGGTATTAATTATTCCTTACGACCATTTTTAAACCGGTGACATTTTCTGCCTTTAATATGTTTGGGGAAACACAGGGAAGTTATTACAAAGAAGCCACACCACAGTACGATCAGCGTCGCGCTAGTCGTCGTTCGTTGTCTGTTGAAGGGTGGATGAAAGAGGGTTGGCATCACGAGGGGTGGGGGGCGGCACGGCCGTCCCCGACTAAGAGATAAGACACACCGATCTCCGTTATACGCGGAACCACCGAGCCAGAAAGAGGAGATAAGGTAAGCGGCGGGAAATGGTCTCTTTTCTCCGACGTGTGACGTCCCGACGCCAGAACTTTGCGGCCTTCGAACGTTTCACGGCATATACATAGGTACGGTATCTAAACCTATTTCTTTCCTTGAGCCTTATTATAATGGGTACGTGAAGGTACATTTCCAGAACGTAAAGTAACAGCAAAATATACCTATAATATAAATGCGGAAGGCCAACTTATTTCTGCATCTAAAAAAGGGTAATGCATCCAGATCATATTTAGAAGAAATCGTTTATCTATTAAAAGTTTATGGATTCAATTTTTGGCATCGATAATATGTTGCGTGCATCTGCGCCAAGGGATTTTATTAAAAATGTATATTAGTTTTGGGAATTAATCGCGTCCCTTTCTCTCCAGTCTCTCAGGGTCTTTCACCGTCTCTGAGAGCATTTCTCACAGTCTCTGTATGAGTGACTCGAACGATAAAATTGTTAATGCAGAGATTCGAGTCTCTCGTTCGGAGATTGGAAACGAAATGAGGATCTCTCTCTGTGAGCGACTCTAGTTTTTTTGACAGTCTCTCTCAGCGACACCAGAGAGTCTTGCTTTCAGAGACTCTGAGAGACTGAATATTTTTATCTCGGGTTCGTATATAAGAATTGTAGATGTAATTGATAATTCTTCAGATATTTTCCTCCCGGCATTGATCAAAACCTCAAAGTCACTTTGCTGTTGTGGAGAACATTCTCAGGAATTCTCCTTCACACAATCAAAGTCGACCTTCACTGGTCAAAAGCAATTCCTGAAGATGTCCACGCCAATAATCGAAGAAGTGTTGAGGACAAGAAGCTTTGACGAAAGCGCGAACATTAATAATTACAGTAATTCTTATTTAATTTTTTTAACGGAAGAGGACAACAGAAATTTGCCAAAATAGAAAGAAGTGGTTTTCAAAAACAGATTTATTAGACATGTAATCAAAACAGGAGGGTCAATAAGGTCGTTTATCCGCTATTATAAATTTTTCTGTTCAATTTTTAATAGACATCTTTACAACCAAAAAGCAGTGGCAGCGGAAAAATGAATCAGCATATGAACTCTGCCTAATTTACGATTGTACCGCAATTACAAGTCGAACCCCCAGTACCACAATCTTTAATATTAACGTCAAATTTGTAAAATTTTCCCACCAACTACCCCCTTGTAGGAAAAATATTATAAACTATTATAACAAGGAAATTTATACAACATGTTTCGGGATACGCGCCAACCACATGACATTCTCCTCCTGTAAGTCTTGGTCCGTAGTATTTTCTTGTACATAAATATCAGCATAACAAGCACAACACTGAGACCACACAACTAAAGATTACTTATACAAGTCCTTTTAGATAGACTTTAACACAAAAACAGTTGTACAAATACATCAATTTTTACGTTACGTGTGTGTGATGCCTGGACAGCTAGGTACTGAAAAGTTGAAAAGAGCGAGAAAAGTTGTTGTGAACCTACAAGCAAATCCTTTAGTTTTTGAGGAGATACTTCTTTTCATAAGTATAAAAATTATGTAAAACTTTTTACTTTAAAGCAATCCCTCGAAGCAAAACCTTTTCCTTTGCTTTTTTTATGCATATACCTTGAAGGAATTGCTCTTTTTTTTTGGAGCTAAAGATAAGGCTTCTTTTTATAAATGCCACATATTAAATTATTCATTTTTATACATTTGTTTTCTGATATACCTAGCAAATTACACCCCCTTCTCCCTCAATCAAAATTCTGAATCTGTTTCGCCACGTCTGCATATAGAAAGAAATTTATTACACTAGTAATACGTAACATAACTACCCTTCTCTGTTAAATCTTTGATTATTCATACAAGAACAGATTAATTAATTAATATTTTATTTTTATTGTGGATTGAAGTGGTCGAGATTCACGTGGTCGTTTTCATCCCTTTGTTCGTCCACTAATGAGGTACCTACAAAAAGTAGTCCTCATCTATGCATGTGTGATAGTGCACTATAAATTTATTATTCGAGGGTTTCTGCGTTTCTAACGGCCACCTTTTTTCAATTGCTATATGCATGCGTCTAATCTAAGCGTTTTCGCGTGAGTGGGCTTTTTCAAAAAGCTTTCTGCCGCTTTATTGGAACATATGTTAGGCCATTGAGGCCCAAATGCCGTTTTGTAACTTTTTGTTAACGTATTATCCGCAGTTTGTATTATAAACGACATAAATTTTCGTAAAATGGTCAAGTACTTTGCTGATCGCGCAGCTCAAGCTAAACCCAGGTAGGCAAATATACAATGCGATGTATATTTTGAGACTACTACAAATGCACAAAATAATGTCCCGCATATTTTCACAACAAAACTACAACACTACATATATACATATAAATACAGTCCCTTTTTGTGTTGTCGTCTTTATAGCAAGAAATGACTGAGCCGAATTAGACTCTTTGTTAAAAGATCTGAACTACTAAATTGGATTCTTAACTAAATTTTATTGAATGTGGCCCGGAAACTCCCTCTTTCGTCACCTTCCGGTATTTTAATTATTTCATTAGAGATGTGCAAAATTGTTTTTTAAAAGTATTTAAATACAAAATGAAAATACTTTTTTGATTTGTTATTTCAAATGTAAAATACAAAATAGATTTCCCTTTCGTAGTGGTGTTTGCACTATATCACCAGCTACGAAGATTCAGTATGATTCATATTTTTTTGTTTAAAGTGATTATGATATAGTTTTTCTATCTTTATGTTATAGTTTCTTCAGTTTAGCAACAAATAATTCTTCTATATCTTTCCGTATTTACCTTTGTTACCGTTTTAATTGGAAAAAAGTCACTGATGTCAAAATAGTTTGCTTAGCGTGAAAGATCAGAGCCAAAATAGGGTTGCAAATAATTTTATTGATGTAAAATCACCATCAATAATTTTATATCAAAATATTTACAACCCCATTTTGTTTCTGATCTTTTACACATTGTAATAAGAGAAACAAATGGAATCAATAGTTTCTTTAGTTTTGAGTTCATCTGATAAGTGATGTTTTCGAATCGTTTCCTAAGAATTTTGAATTATATTCATTTATTAGCACACCACAACATTTTGTAGTTTTCAGTTTTACGTATATCAATTCGATATTGTTTTGAGGGCTGTTTTCTCGTAATTCATAGAATTTCGTAGTTCCTTCCTGATTTGGCAGTTGGTGATATCAATTTGGAACTTCAAAAATCCATGGACTATGATACTGAACTCGGAAAACAATACTGATCCAATATTTTAGATTATCTATTTCCAAGGTGTTTAGAATGTTTTGGGCTCTCTTCAGTTAAAGAAATAGAAGGCATTCATGGAATGTCTTTTTGTTTCCTTTTTAATCTTCTAATACCTTCAATGACCAATGTGAGCAACTTTCATTCATCATTATCTATAATGTTTGATTGGTGATACCAGCAAAAGTTTTAACGGCAAAAATGTATTTTGCATTTTACAAATGGAAAATACATTTATGCTTTTCTGAAAAAAGTATTTAAATGCAAAATAAAAATAAGTATTTTTTATTTTGTAT